TACCACAATTAAAAAATTGAAAAAGCCAAAAACAAAACAAGACTAAGCAACTCTTTAGTTCATGCCTTTCTCTTTGTATTCTATCACAGTCAGCTAGAAAAAGCCAGGTAGTATTCTCTGCATTTTACCTAGAAACTTCCTTAGACATATCCACAAGTTCATTGGTTTACAGGTGTCAGTGTTGCCAAACTTTCCGACTATTATGTACCAAAGGTTGCTTTTTCTTCTGTCTCCAGTATCATTTCTACACTGTCCTTTAAGACTCACCAACATGTTCCCACTTTTATTAACCATTTCTTTGAGGCCCTTCTAGCTTCTGCCTCTGCCTGGGCCCAAAGCCAGTGCCATACGTTTTAGGCTTCTGTTATGTAAGCAACCCCCTGCTAGGCACCAGGTCCTGTTCTGGTTATCTATTGTTTGGAGGAAATGACTGATGTCAGCTGGTCTAAGAGCATCTGTTTTTATCAACTCTTTATTTTGGCAGAACCTCTGCCCTGATTCGCCATCAAAATTGACTAATGGGTTGTTACTGTCAATTTCTGTAGTGATGAAGAAGGAAAATTATGGCCCAAGGTAACGTGGTGAAGAAACAAAAGGAGAATTTCAAAACGTTCCTTCAACATATCCAGTTTTTCTTTCCATTCATTCACCCATAGCAGTCCATGACAGTTTTCTGTTTCCTTGGGTTTTCGCACGTGCACGTGCTCTCTCTCTCTCTGGTCATGGTTATTTTAGCTACTATTCACATCTCTCTAGCATCTGCAATTTTTCAAGGTTAATTTTGGGGGGGGGTGGGTGCTGATTTAGGAGCTGAGGGAAAATATTACAAAGACATGGGCTATGGAAATTTTAGTCTGGTGGGAAAAACATATCATCAAAAATCCAATATTATAATAAAAGGTTCTAATGATATGAAGAAGGTAAGCACAGTGTATTATGGGCAGAATAGAGAAGCAGTTTCTAAATGAGACTTGGAGTTCACAGAAGGCTTTAAAAAGGAGCCAGGTAGGAGCTATGATAGGTAAAGCACAACTGAGGCAAAGGAACTTCAGATATAAAGGTATCTATAAAAGAATGATTTTTTGAGATAGCATGAATTATTTAGGACCCCACAGGTAATTCTGAATCGTCTGGAACAAAGAATGTATGCGAGTGGGTGGAGAAGTTAGAAGTAGGAGGGGCTTGAATATAATGTTATAGCAAGGAGCTTGGATTTCATTCTTCAGGAGAGTGGGAAATATTGATTTTAAGCAGGGAATTGTGAGGATCATATTTACAAGTTTCAAAGATTAAACAGACAGCAGTGTTTTAGGCTTAAGCTCTACGGCCCCTTGCTTGCATGGGAATTTTCTAAAGCCCTGGAATAGGCACTAACAACAAATTTTATGGTCAATTGTTTTCTGTAAAATTTGCAAAAGGAAGATACAATTGAATACTCTCTTTGTACTATAACTTGCCTCCATTACATTTTCCCAAGGCTGTGGGCATTACTGGAAATTGGTTAAGGGGAAGTTCTCGATTATTTAGTAATATATATTAAAGTAGTGTGTAGTCACTTCTGTCTATAGCTAAGTTCTGGTATTGAAATGCCTTCTGGTAATGATCTTACTACCCAACCAGCACTTGTAACATAAGCATGTAGGGCCAAAGCTCATATTGTGATAAAAATGTATATTCATAGTTTTGTATTTGTTTCTTAAAGAAGGACCCTAAACCGTATAAACGTGAGGGCCTACAAACCGAGATCTTCACCTGGAGCAATGCCAGACAGCACCAAATTAGTAAACTATTATAAAAATTTTTTAGCTTTCTGAGAGGTGAAGACCTGAACCAGGGAGAAATAGCAGAAATGGAGAGGAAGGGTCAAGGTGCATGCAGGGAGTAGAATCTATGGAACTTGGCAATTGTTTTGATTTGGGCGGTGAGTTTCAGAACGAACAAGTTATCTACCAGATAACTGTAAGGACGGAAGCCCCATTCATGGGGAGAGAACGTAAGGGAAATTCCAAATTTGGTTGGAGGATAAATCCTGTTTGGTGCTTTTGCTGCCTTTCAGGAGTCAGAAAAAGTGGAGGAAAATGCTAGTCTGCAGCTCAGCTAAGCGCCTAAAGGTTTGGGGGACGTTATTTTCTATATTTTCCATTCTCTGGATGCCACTTACCAGGCTCTTCTCGGCCCTCATCTTCCGGTCCTCAAGCCACCACACGTCAGCCACTTCCGCGCCTTCAGAGTTTCCCGGTGGTGCCCGCTCACCGGATGTGGGAGCAGCACTTCCGCCTCAGAGGGGCTTGCTCAGGAGATACAGGGCGCAGGCGCGGCGGGGTTTTCTGCGGGCCTAAGTTCTGCCGGCGGGTGTGCGTCGCCGTTTGAGTGTTTGCGTTGCTGTGGCTGAATGCTTTTTCAAACTGAGAGAGCATTCGCTTTCCGCTTAATGACCCAGGCCTCCATTTCCCCATCCCCCCACAGAAAGTCACGGCGCCTTCCCAAGGGCTTTGTAGGTCTCCAGGCACCGAGGCCCAGGCGCTAATGAAGAAGAGTCAGCGCTGATTTCCAGCTGCTAAACGCACGGCTCATTACATTTGGTGGGTTTTTAAATTTTATTTATTTATTTATTTAATTTTTGCTGTGTTGGGTCTTCGTTGCTGTGCGTGGGCCTTCTCTCGTTGCAGTGAGCGGGGGCTACTCTTCGTTGCGGTGCGCGGGCCTCTCATTGCGGTGGCCTCGCCTGTTGCGGAGCACAGGCTCTAGGCACATGGGCGTCAGTAGTTGTGGCATGCAGGGTCAGTAGTTGTGGCTCGTGGACTCTAGAGCACAGGCTCAGTAGTTGTGGCTCACGGGCTTAGTTGCCCCGCGGCATGTGGGATCTTCCCGGCCCAGGGCTCTAACCCGTGTTCCCTGCATTGGCAGGCGGATTCTTAACACTGCACCACCAGGGAAGCCCACCTTTGGCGGTTTTACTGTGAGCCCAGAGAGCTTCATGAGTTGAGTTTCAAGTCTGCGGTGACCTTTCGTTTCCTGTATAGGAACCTGGAAATAAGGGGGGAAATTCTCAGCCATTAAGATACCAATTTCTTAAGCCAGGTTTCTCAGGCAAGGGGCCAGAGTAATTGCATCCTCCTGGAGTCCCAAATTAACCCGTGACCCTGAGCCAGCTCTGGAGGCTTTGGAGATTTCCACCATCTTGCCCTAAAGGGTAGCAAGATAGTGGAGGAAAACTTGACCTCATTATTACTAATGATTGTGGAACAAACAGAAATACATATTTTTATTAGTTTCCTACTTACATTCTTTTTTTTTTTTTTTTTTTTCCTGTACGCGGGCCTCTCACTGTTGTGGCCTCTCCCGTTGCGGAGCACAGGCTCCGGACGGGCAGGCTCAGCAGCCATGGCTCACAAGCCTAGCCGCTCCGCGGCAATGTGGGATCTTCCCAGACTGGGGCACGAACCCGTGTCACTTGCATCGGCAGGCGGACTCTCAACCACTGCGCCACCAGGGAAGCCCGGCTTTCATGTTCTTTAATGAACTGGCCAGCCTTTCGCTTTGCACATTTTTCTATTGATGTTTTGTGTTTTTCCTTATTTATGTAAAAGAGCTTATTATAACAGCTGTTAAATGCCCTTTTGAAGTATGTTGAAAATATCTTTTCCAGTTTGTGATTGGCATTATATATAACTCTTGTTTTTTTTTTTCTGTACAAAAGCTTTTATTTTTCACACAGTCATTCGTTGAGCTTTCTTTTATTGGTTTTGATTTGGAAGTATGTTTAAAATTTTTCTCTCTACCTCAAGTTTATAAAAATACTAATATCTGCTTTTAATGGTATTATGGTTTCATTTTTTCACTGTATAAATAAGTTCATCTATTTTGTTTTGTGTTTTTATGTCAGCATCTATCTTATTCCTTCATAGAACTATGAAAATATGTAACAATTTTATTTTATTTTTTTTAAAAATTTTATTGGAGTAGATTTACAATGTTGTGTTAGTTTCAGGGGTGCAGCAAAGTGAATTAGTTATAAACACACATATATCACTTTTTTAGATGCTTTTCCCATACAGGCCATTACAGAGTATTGAGTAGAGTTCCCTGTGCTATAGAGTAGGTCCTTACTAGTTATCTATTTTATATATAGTAGTGTGTTTCTGTCAATCCCAATCTCCCAAGGTTCATCTGTCTTAACATGAATAAATTTATTTTATTACCTTGTCGTTTGAGAAGTAGAGATAGAAATTTATTTCTTCAAAATGGCTAATCAGTTGTTCCTCAACATCATTTATCTTTTCCACTTTCATTAGAAAACTTTCATCATATATTAAATTCTTTTACATGGGTCTCTGTTTTTCACTGATTTATGGACTAGTTAATGTACAGTATACTGAAACATTTGGCTGCATAAAGGTCTCCTCATTACTCTATTTCTTGTTCTCAAAAAGAATTTTTTTTGAATGTCCTTGTATGTTTATCCTTTCAAATGAGCTTTAAAATAATTTTGTTTGGTTTCTCAAAGAAGTTTACAATTTTTAGTATACCAGAATTTCTTTGGTTTATCCTAGCTTTTTCTTGACCCAAAACTAGTATTCATTTTCATAAATATAAATTGACTTAGGAACTGAAAAGCACAAATTCCTGGAAAATTTTGCCTGTGAGTTGTCTCTCTTTAAAATACAGTAGGAACTTTAAAGAAACCCAAACCCATCTGCAGTTGTACTATAATTCTAAACCTCATACTTCTAATAATTATTGTATAACTTTTACAAAAGCATGTTGAAGTTATTAACCTTGAAGTTGTAACATTTAGAAAAAGTCTAAATATGCTAAGCAATCTACATTCTGATTGTCCTATTTAAAATATGGCTTTGGAGACTTTTCTAGGAGTTACTGGATGGTGTTAAGAAAAAATTGGAAAGCCATTAGTGTTAGTAAATGTACTTTTATTTCTGCTGATTTTTAAAAGTAGTAAGATTTAAGTAACAGTTTGAATTATGTGACTCTTACAGGTCAGCTGGTTAAGATGCTGCTTTTTACAGAGGTCACTCACTATCTGGATTTCAAAGTGACTGAAGGGAGCTTTGTTTATGAGGGAGGAAAAATCTACAAGGTTCCTACCACTGAAGCAGAAGCCCTGGCATCTAGTAAGTAATTCTATTTTATTTTCTCAGAATATTAAGATTTTATAACATAAAGGGATCTTAGAGATAAAATTTAAGGTCCCCTGCATTAGTCATCCATCCATTCATCCAGTCAACAAAGATTTATTGGGTGTCTGTTATGTGCCAGACACTGTTGTAGGCAGTTGTGAGTACTTCAGTAAACAAGATGTTCAGAAATTCCTGCCCTTCTGAAGCCTGGAGAGGTTTTATCTCATGGAGCCTGTTGCTGGTGAAGCTGAGCCTTCCTAGGTCTAGTATACTCTTTTCAGATT